TCCCTGCCCTGGGGACTGGGCACACAACAGACATGTACAGCCAGTGTCTCTACAGATAGGCTGTCTGGATGTGGTTAAAACCATGGTGTGGAATAAAGCAAGCAAGGGAGGGAAGAGGGGGAATGGGATATGGGGGTCAGAGGCCTCTGACCGTCCCCTATAAACACCGTAACTGATGACACCGTGAGACAAGAGAAGGTGAGGAGAAGCCTGCCCCTCATCCCAACAGCCCAGGCTGGCTCCCCTAGCATGGAAAAAGGATAGCCATGTCACAAAGTCAGGAAAGATTAACTGCAGAAATGTGACTTGTTCTCATTTGTTCTGGGTTGGGAAGAGAAAAGCTATGGAGGGCTTTGAGTATCATCCCAGAGAGGATCCCCAGTGTCCTATTACCCAGGAAGCCACCAATCCTCATCCTTCCTTCTCCCTACCCTTGCCTTCTAAACTTGCCAAGATGGCGTTCTGAGAAGGGAACACTTCTTTGACTGCTAGAGAAACGCGCCCCCTGGAGGGAAGTGGGTGCATCTTCCCGTCTTCTTTTGCTGTTCCTTGGGAGTCTTTTCCTGGGGATGGACTAGATTACTGGCATGCTGTCCTAGATTCTGAAAACCAAGAAGCGATGCTCAAGATGCCTCCCCACCATTTGGGGGGTCCAAGGCCTCAGAAGTTACAGACTCAGACAAGAACAAGATAGTTTCCCCCAGACTAGTGCTCCCAGTCTGCTCAAAGCAAGCCATAAGGTTGGCCCTTTAATCCTCTCTTCCCACTGTTCTGCCACTGGGTGCCCCTCCATCCCCTAAGAGGTGTTGCTTTTCCTCAAGTTTGGCAGCTGTCACAGCAGATGGCTCCCCCTATAAGATAACCTTGACTTAGCTCCAAAGGGGTGTTTCACTTTGGAGAGCTCTGTCTGCACGGGAGTTGTCCTACCCCAAGATCTCTGAGGGAGCCTGCTTTTAACTTGGAGTCCTGGGGTTGTACTAAGGCAGTTGACAGCCTTGTCTGAGTGGCTCCCAGTTTCCTAAGAATCTTGCAAACAAGATCTTGGGAGATGCCTCCTGCAGCAGGAGCTGTGAAAATTCACCCAGAAGGGCTGGGAAGGTAGCTCAGTGGGAGAATGCTTTCTTGTAAGTGGCTCTGGATTCAGCCCACAGCACCACAAAACAAACAACAGAAACAGAACACTTCCCAAGGGATAAGACCACAGCCCAACCTATACGCCTCTTGCCTTCTAAGAGGAAGGAACCCATCTCCGTACTTAGCACCTATGTAAGAATGTCATTGCCCAAGGTCAGGGTGCTGTGGATCCTAATACTAGGTAGAAACCAGAGGTGCCCTGGGGATCCAGCCAACCAAACCTAAGCAGTGAGCTTCAGGATAGTTAAGACCCTTTCTCAAGGGAGATAGGTGGTCCTGAGGGTGATACTGTAGTTTGTTCTCTGACCTCTATATATCTGTGCACATGTGTCCACTTTTGTATACATGCACGCACACACACACACACACACACACACACACAATACAAACATTCCCCTAAGAGTTGCAAGTCTCTTTCACTGAGCATTATCAAGGGTTAAGAGGTAGGAGCTGATCGGTATTGAGGGTGTCTGTCTGGACCTCCTCCTGGCTGTCTCCCAGACCTGGAGAAAGTACTGTTAGCTGATGTCTGTGTTGTTGCCACTTTCAGATCTGGAGTGGGAGGCGTGATGCTGATGAGGGGCTGGATAGAACAATTTTCTGCTCTACGGCTTCTCCTGCCTCGTTTCTCTCCCTGCCAGCCTTCCTGGTTCTGTGAGGCCCTGATTTCCTCATCAATGAGACTGATAATACTATCCACCTGACAGAATTGTAAAACAGATGGAATGTGGGCACACAATTCTCAAAGTCTGTCCACTCATAGAATCAATTACTGTTAGCTATTAATAGTTGATATTATTATGGGTATTATGATTAATATTAACTGTAGTTGTTAACTAATAACTGTGCATTATGAAATAAGTGAGATTTTGGACACAGATCTCATGTAGCACAGGCTGCCTTAGACTCACTATGTAGTCAATGAGGACCTTGAGTTTCTAATCCCCCTGCCTTTATCTCCTGAGTGCTGGAATTACAGGGCCACCATGCCCCGTTTTTTCTTATTTTTATTATGTGTTTTGTTTTTACTTAACTTTTAAACAGTATTAAAGATTTATTTTATGTTATATTTTTGTACAATATCTTTTGATAATGTTTCCTCTCCACCCCTTTCAGTTCCTCCCCACCTTCCTACCCACCCAACTTTATATTCTTTCTGCCTCTCTATCTTTAAAACACACACACAAACTTGAAAATGAAAATCAAAACAAACAAAAAGCAATAAACCAAAACAAATGCCCAAACTAAACAAAAACCCACAAAAAAATAAACAAACAAAAAAATCATGGAGTCCACTTTGTCTTGGCCAGCTACTCCCGGACACGGGGTCTGCCCAGAAGTGTGGCTGGTGTTCCCAGTGATGCTCCATTGAAGAACACTGGTTCTCCCTTTGCTGGCACGTATCAATTGTAAATAGCATCTTGGCTAGAGGTGGGGCCCACTCTCCCTTCTCAGCTCTGGGACCCCATCTGGCTTGAACCTGCACAGGGTCCACAATATGGTGCTGAGGCTGGAACCCAAGGCTTCATGTATACTGGGCTAGCATTGAAACAAGAACTCCTAGATAACACTGGAATGCACAGTCTTGTTCATGGACTTTGTCTATAAACTTATCTCACTTACCCCCACGTAATTCTTACTGAGATGCGAGGGTGGGAACTGTTCATGGCACCCACATTTTCCAGAAGGGACCTCAGAGGCCCCAAGAAAGGTGAGCCCTGTTTCCTGCATGACCCAGGAAGTGAGTGGCTGGGATGGGCCATGGATCTTGTCCTCAGACTTCACCCCCACTCCTGAACCATGTGGAGCGTGGGGTTGACAACAACATGCCTCTTGGATCATCCAGCCCAGTGACAAAGATTCTAGCAAAACCAACCTCTGAGCCGGATGTCCCTTGTCACCTTCCCTCACGTCTTTTGTGTCACCTTTTCCCTACTGGGAAGGTATAGGACAGTCATCCAACCTGTCATTAAGAGGAAGAAATCTCCCTTCAAATAGCGAAGCCTCAGGCATAGCTTCCTCAAGAAGGAAAAGCTCAGCTGGTGGGATTCTCCATTCCAGGTGTGCCCGGGGTCTCCTGGAGTAACTGGGTTCAGTTTATAGGGATGCCAAGACAGGCTCTCTCCCAACTCCCTGCCATCCATGGCTCATTATCCGTCAAGGAAGGAGATGTTTTAACAGAATCAAGAAAAACTCTCAACTGATAGATAAGAACACTTAACTCCCTTGGGAGGCCAACTGGCCTGGGTCCAGGGCTCTGACTTGAATCTCGGGCATGTGAAACATTTTTTTTAATCTTCTTTTTATATTTTTTTTCAAAGAAAAAGCTGCCAGCCAATTATTTTAGGAATTAGGGGGAACTGCAGGATTACTCTCAAACTCTCCCACTCCTCCTTGCCAGCCTCACTGTCAGGAAGCCTAGCACAGCCACCTCTTCTACCCTTCTCGGGGAAACTCAGAGTCCTCCCTCACCAGTCCCGCTACAGTCTCATTCCTTAGAGACCACCCACCCCAGGCGCATGCCTTCTCCTCTTAATTCCTCAGTTAAAAATATGAAAAAAATCCCCACAATTCCCCAAGTCCCTCCAAACTGGCAGAACCAAAATAATACATGTTGTTCCCATCCAGGTCAGGCTCAAGGGGAGATCTGAGGATTGTTTACAGTTATCTCCCACTTTCCATGTTAGTAATATTCCAAGAGGGAAATCTACGCAACTTTTTAAAACTGTGGTGGAGAACAGAATCAAGGCAGGGCTCACTGCAAGGAACCCCCGCTCTACCGGTAACACCCTGTGGTAAAGAGGTGGCATCCACTCCGACCTCATAGACTGCACACAGTGCCCCAATCCTTCCATGTAAGGTACGGGCACCCCATACTTGGGGAGCGCTCATTGCATCTAAGGTAGGATTGTGGGAAATAATCTCTCAGCACCATACTCTTCCCCGATCCCAAGGTACCTAGATGTAGGTTCTGGGACTTCTTATTTTCCACAGGGTCGTTTTAGCGCTCCCAGGAGGTGCTTTTTTCAGGAGCCTCTCCCCCCCCACACACACATACTATGAATGAAGGAAGATTCAACCATTCTAGGTCCTTCTAGACCTGTAAGAAAGTGGACCTCACTTCTGACCATTATCAAAGAAGGCATTCTCATCCTAACAGTTTCCAACGCCCCGTTTTGGTTTTTCCTTCCCTAATTTCCCATAACTCTCAGGCCACAGGCACCTCCTGTGACCTTTCTTAATAAACCTGGAGCCCCTGCTGTTTGCTTGAGGCCATTTCCAAACCAGAAGCGTTTGGGGATTTCTCAAAACTGCTGGGGGCTTTGTAGCCAGGTAGCAAGCTAGTCCGGGAGAACTGCAAGTAGGGAAGCCTAGCCAAAAAGTGCAGACTTCTGTCGTCCACCCAGGACAACGTGAGTGCGCGCTGACTTGCGGCATCTCAGCATGCCTACAGCCTGTTATTGCCCACGGGGGTCCTCTGGATCCACTCATTAAGGAAGAACGTGCCCACAGCTGAGACCCCAAAGACTTCCCTGGAGGTGTTCTCTCTCCGTGGAAGAACAACAGTATAGCTCCCTCTGTGTGAAGGCAAGTCTATTCTTCTGGTTCTTATCCCCAGCAGAGCCTGTGAGCTTACATGCGCGATGCACACCCGATCACGCACACGGGGCGGGGGGGGGGGGCGGGGGGAGAGACAGAGAGAGAAAAAGCGAACGCCCTGCAGTCGCCCCTTCACACTCCCTGGCATGCCCCAAGGATGTGGCACCGGGCACAGAGAAGAGGGCCGGTGCACTCAGAGCTCAGGGACTGGACACATTGATGCCCTAGGTTGGTTCCCTTCCTCCCCTCCCCCGAACTCTACTCACCTTAATGTTGCTGAAGACCGAGCGGGAGCAGCGTCTGGCTGGGACAGAGGAGGTGCCGCTGCCCTGGCGAGCTCCGAGTTTGGGCAGGAGCCCCATCGCGACGGAGGCAAAGTCCCCTGGCCCGGCCCAGGCGGTGGCGACAGGCTGGGGACAGGTTCTGCGGGACTTGGGACCTTCGAGCTGCGGCGGTAGTAGCCAGGCGATGGGGAGCGCGACGCGGTGACTGAGCAAGAGAGTGAACTCTCAGAAGTTTTTATAAGTGGCGGCGATGATGAAACGCACTCTCTCCTCCCTCTCTTCCTCGGGTGTCAGAGGTGCTGCAAGCCCCCGCCCAGCTGCTGCCGTTTCCCCGGGCAGGTGTCTTGGCCCTGACGTCGCGGCTGCGGAAGCCCAGAGTCTCTAGGACTCGACCTGGTGAGCCCTAACTACCCAGGAGGTCCCGCAGGCAAGGAGGTGGCACGCGGGGAGATGGCGGGCCCCCGAGGAAGGGGTCACCGCAGATGGAAGAGACAGGAGGCTTGCAGGCCAGTGGAGAGACCTGGGGACTTGGTGGGATAGAGGAACTAAGGAAGGGGTGGAGAGTTGAAAGGGACCCGAGGGGCGCGGGTCTCCACTTGGAGGAAGGGAGCGAAGAGCCTCCCTGGCTTTTGGGATTGTCCAGAGCCGGGCTCTGCGTGTTTGCACTCGCTCCGCAAACCTGGGCCCTCGGTTCCGGTGACGGCTCTGAGACTCGCCGCCCAAGCTCTGTTTGTGCTGAGGACTGATTTATATTTAAACTACTCTTTGCGCTGCAGAGGAGGGTGGGAAGGCGTAACAAGGTGGAGAGGTGGGGGCCGCCCCAGGGCTGGGCTCGAACTCACTGGAACCGAGCCAAGGTAAACTGCAGGCGCTGTCGAGTGTCAGCGGGTCTGGCCTGAAGTGCTGGGGGTTGGGACAAAGGGAAGCGCTGGTCCGAATGAATTGCCCCCGCACTGACCTCCTCTGTAGGCTGAGTGAACAAGGTTTTTCCCCCTCCTGGACTGGAATCTTAGAGAAAGAAGGTGATCCTTTTCTGGGAAAAACCAAAAAAGATCCAACAAAAGCACTTGAGGCAGTTCGGCAGAGGAGGCATCTTTCCAGCCCCCTATTCCATTGTTCCCTGCAGAGCCACCTCTTCCAGCTGTTGCCCAGCCCAGCCCAGGAAAAGATGCCCCTCAATACGGGGGACACAGGCTGGGTGAAGGATGGTGCATGCCACCTCATTTCTACCCAAGGCCAAATGCTTTTCCAATTCCTGTCTGGCCTGGCGCTCTGGGAACTTCTCCCTATGTACCTACAGGCCAAGGACACAGCAATACGCAGAGGCCGTTGGACAGTGGACAGCTTCTAGTTGTTTTGTTCCCCCGCAGAAAGAGGTACACACAGGCCCGGCTTTCCAGGCCCACAGCAAGCTTGATTACCATTCTGTCCCTGGTGAGGTGGAACACGCAGACAGCTGCTGGGAGACGGAGGTGACACTCGGTGTACACTGAGCGCAGGTAGCCACACCGATGGTGGGTTGTGTCTGGTGCTCTGGAGATTTCATGGACCTCCCCGATTCTTAGATCTAAATGAAAGGTGTTTCGACCGTCTGGACTTTACGGGCAAGGATGCTAGTGGGATCAAATAGAAAGGGACCAAAGGCCACACAGCTAGGACATAATAGAACCGGAACTCAACTTTGCCTGATGCCAAAGCCCAGCCATGAAGCATTTTTGTGTGGGAGTGGAGGGGGTGCAGAGGCCAAAGGACAGTCATAGGTGTTGTTCCTCAGATAATATCCGTCTTGTTTTTGAAAAGGGGACTCAGTGGCCTGGAGTTGCGGGAAGGGGCTGGGCAGAAAGCCCCAGGGGTTCACCTATCTCTGCCTCCCAAGCCCTGAGATTATAAATTTTCTTTGACTGCCTGGGATTGAATTTGGGTCCTCCTACTTGCAAGGCAGGCGTTTTATTGAGAGCTACCTCTCTAGACCCAAGCACTTATACAGTTATCTCTCTAGTACAGCAATCTCCCTTCACGCAGGGGCCTCTTGGTGGTTAGAAAGTCTTCCTCAGCCTGTGGCCTTCCCCAGGCTCGTCTACCAGACTCGCCAGGAGAATCCACCTCTCCTGTGTTTATGTTGTCCTGCTCCTTTAACTTTGCCCTCGGCCTGGTATCAGGGCCAGTGTGTCAGCTCCGAAGGAAATGCGTGTTCAGAAACGTTATCAGTAGGGTTTGACTAAACGCCCTGGAGATCCAACCACAGTGCCTTCAGCGAGACTTATTGTCTGTGTACGAGCTGATGAAGTGGCCACTCCACGGTATGGTTAGGGGGAAGGATTTTGTTGTAGATATGAGAAGAGAGAGAACAGCCAGCGGCAGGGTGAGGTGGGGTGGGGGAGCAAAAAAGAGGGAGCATAGCCAAAGCAGCAGGGTTATAAGGGGAATGGGTAGCTGACTTTTGTTTACCCGCCAGGATTTGGGGAAACGGAGTTTCCTTTGGACCTGTTGCATGAGTTTTGCTGGTAGGTAGTCAGAGGGTCACGACTGGACTCCCTCAAGGTTCCTTAGCTTGTGACTTCCATGACTAAGGCTAGCTCATGGTCACTAGTTCCTCTAGCTCCTCCTCCAGCCTTCTCTCTTTATTTCAGAAAAGAAGTGGAAGATGGAAAACAGGAAGGAGCCCGGCTCACAGCAGAGAAGCAAACTTCACACACACATACAGAGAGAGAGAGAGAGAGAGAGAGAGAGAGAGAGAGAGAGAGAGAGAGAGAGAGAGAGGAGACTGACTTTGCCTTAAATCTTATTGGCTGGACAACAAAGTAACCCCCTGCAAAGGAACACACACAAAAAAAATGAGCTTCACACACAAGTCATCCCTGGGGTAAAATTGAGCTTCTGGTGGGGAAAAGCAGAGAAAGGATGTCCTATCACCAACATTCAAGGTCTCCACGTCCATGTCCTTAAACCAGCAACACCAGTATCTGCCTGCTGGACTTCCCAACCCTTGACTTCAGGAAGTGTTTTCCGTCTCTGTGGAGAGAGTGGAGAAGCGTGTTACAGAGTGACTGTGCATAAAAGCTGTGCACGGGCAGGAGAGGGGCCCCAGTTCACACAGGACAGCAGGAGCGCCTGTCTGAAGAGGTAACTGTCTCTGCTCTGCAAAACCCTAAGAATAAGGAGGATTAGGAGGAACAGACAGAGGGAAGGAGGCTACATCTGCTTCCTGGTGTTGTTCTGGCTGGAGTCCAAAGCAAAGGACAGCAGGAATAGGTGAGGCTGAGGACCAGGCTGGAAAACCGAGTGGCGTGCTAAGAATCTTTAGTATCCAGGGATAAATATTGAAGGCTTCTGTGTAGCAGGGGCTCTGAACGGATTTGCATTTCCCATGGGCCTCCATGGCAGCCAGATGAGAGAGGAAAAGGGGCAAAGTATGCAAAAGATTCCAGGAATAGGGATGCAGGCTTGGCTTGCTCAAGGGGCGGGGAGAAAAAACTCAGGAAATACTACAAGGGGACAGCACTTGTGTGCCAGTGGTGGGTAGACCAGTGGTGAGTCCCAGGATTCAACTTGTGCACACAGCATTTGCCATGCTCATCCCTGATAGAGGGGACCCAGAAGGACCAGCAGCCAGGGAGGAAGTTAGCAGTGTCCTATGGATTCATGTTGAGTTTACCCAGTCTGAGCTACATGCAAATAAAGATAGGCAGCTGAACTCTAAGTATTTATTCTTATACCCACAGATAACTGTAGTTCTCTTGTCTCATCAAAGAAACCCATCTCTGTAACAGATAGACACCATTGCGGCAAATTGCAACTGGTCAAAATGTGGAGAACACGTGATCATGCCTTGTTCAGTCCCGCTGAATAAACCTGCAACACAATTCTTGCCCTGAAGGCTCAGGGAACATTCAAGAACACTGGATGGAGAGATTGATCCTAAGAGTTGGAGGACCAGGAAATCTACGGTGAAGCTGTCTCCTAGAAATGAAAGGGAAGCTTCACCCTTGACACCCAACAATATGGCTGCCTAAACAAGACCTAACAAGAACACCAGGAAACACGCTAACACAGATGGAGGAAATCTCACAGGGCCCCACCCACAGGCAAAGAACTATAGGCAACTAAGGAATGAGGAGAGTGGGAGACATGGCCAGTCCTGAAAGCATGTACACCCAAGTGACACCAAATAGACTGAGCAGGTTGGATTTACGTATTTAGGCGCGCGCGTGTGTGTGTGTGTGTGTGTGTGTGTGTGTGTAATAACAATTAAAGAAAAAGAGGCCATAAATTTGAGAGGGAGCCGAGGATGATGTGGGAGGAGTTAAAGGGTAGGGAGAAATGATATAATTATATTTTAGTTTTTTTAAATTAAAATAAAGATTTATTTATTAATTATGTATACAGTATTCTCTGTATTCTGTCTACATGTATGTCTGCAAGCCAGAAGAGAGCACCAGATCTTATTACACATGGTTGTGAGCCACCATGTGGTTGCTGGGAATTGAACTCAGGACCTTTGGAAGTGCTCTTAACCACTGAGCCATTTCTTCAGCTCCCAAGAATGTTTTTTTTTGTTGTTGTTTTTTGTCTTTAAGGTGGGCAGCTGGGAGGTGGCTACGCAGACTCAGTGCCCAGGATAGACTCTGAAGTCAAGAGATGGGTGAGTGGAGGCAATGCTAGCCCTCCAGAAAGGATGAAGTCTCCTGGTAAGCATGCGTGGAGGGGGGTGTCTGGAAAATACTGCAGAAACAAGGGATGGAAAGAGGGGAAGGAGGGATGCGAGGGGAGTGGAGAGATCAGAGACCGTCTTCAAAGAGGAAGACTGGAGCCTGCTGGTGCTGTGGACAAGGTATGACCTGGGGGATAGTAATGAGCTGGTCAAGTCTTGCACTGAGGGTTTCCAGTGGGGAATATGGGTCAAAGTACGAGTTCTATGGGCCAGGAGGCCCCAGAAGGAGAGAGTGTAAACACACAGTGTTCCTGACCTTTTTTTTTTTTATCACAGGTCACAGTTGGCACAATATGAGTGATGACTAAGGGCACAAGTCTTCCCGTCAGACAAACACCCGGACTTCATACCAGCCTCGTTATTCCAATAGCTCTCTTAACCTTTACGATCTCCGTGGGGCTGTTGTAAAGTGTGCACGAGGTGACAGACAACTCGGACTATTGCTGTGGAGCCTGGTGGCGCGGATGCTAGGTCTCTTCCTCTCTCTCCAACTCAGCTGCGGGCTCCTTGAGAGCACAGGTTTGTGCCAATTCTCTTTGTACATCCCACTTGGCCAGAATGCCTAATTACTTGAAAAGTGTTTGCTGAGGGACTGGAAGGTGGCTCAGTTGGTGAAGTGTTTGCTGTGCAAGCACGAGGACGTGCGTTCAATCCCCAGGATCCAGGTAAGAAAGCTGGACACACATGCTGTATCCATCTACGAAATCCTTAAAGGATTAACTAAAATAGTATAGTTTAAAAAGGCTTCTCACAGCAGCATGCACCTGGAATCACAACATTGGAAGGCAAAGACAAGAGAATCCTGGGGCTCGCTGGCCAGACAGTCTAGCCAAATTGGTAAGCTTTGGGTTCCATGAAAGAGCCTGTCTCAAAACAGAAGGTAGGGTACAACTGAGGAAAAAACTTGGAGTCAACCTCTGGCTGCCACATGAACAGGGGCACACACACACTGTAATGAACTGAAGCGACACCAAAAGATTCCAGCAAATCCGAAGTAACTTCCTAATTCCTAAAGTCCCTGGCCATTGCTCTTACTCACAGTGAGTCTCTGGAGACATGGGCTGTTCCCGTTGGTGGCTACTGGCCATGGCCTTGAGGGTAGGTCTGTCAGTCCATGGGCTACACAGCTCACCGCTGCAGTAGTTGATGGACTTTCCTTGGGTACTTATACCTGAGTGTGATCATGAATTAACTCTGGCTGATTGGCTCCCTGGTGGCTTACTCCAACAAGGACAGGGTTCAAGGGTTCTCTGATAAGTGCCTCTCCCTAGTTGGGGAAACTCTCCTAAGCCAAGGACTCAAGCTGTCTGTCATCCGTGGGCACCTGCTGTCTTTGCAGGGTACCCTAATGACTATTTTATATTTTGTTGTATATGTTTTATTATTATAACCATTTCTCATTTATTCTTTTAGAGTTTCATCTACACACACACACACACACACACACATTTTGGCCATATCTCCTCACCCCCATTATCATCTCATTCCCTTCTCCCTCTCACTAAACCCCTTTTGTTCCCAGCAAGTCCCCTCCTACTTTTAAACCTTTCTTTCTGGTATTGCCATTCAGTTTGGGGCTTTTGGTGACCCACTGTATTTAATTAGGGTTGCCCGCATGAGCCTGGGTGGGGAATTATTTACTTGAGCAAGAACAACTTACCAGTGGCTAGACCACTGAGGAACATGACTCTCTGCCCCAGCAACCATTAACTGCCTACGGCTCCTCAGGGAGGGGTGGGGCCTTCTGAGCCTCTCCCTTGTCCATGATGGGATGATTTCACGGTACTCCTTCCCAGCCTTGGCCTCTCCTATCTTTCCCTCCCCTTTTCTGTAATGTCCTTAGAGCCTGGGAGAGGGTGATACAGATGTCCTGTTTAGCACTCAGGAGTCACTTATTCTCAGTGCTTTGACCATTTAGTCTCTATATTACGCATCACCCACTGCAAACAGAAGCTTCTCTAACAAAGGCTGAGGATAGCACTGATTTATGGTAGAAGCAAATATTTAGAAGGGGCTTTGATACTATGCCCATCTAGCAGAATAACAGTTGCCGGCACCTCTCTAGGGCCTATGACCTCCCTAGCCATGGGCTTTTGACCAGGTTTATAGTACCTGGTTTGAATTCCTCCTCTGGAGCAGGCCTAAAAGCCAACAAGAAAGTGGTTGGTTGTTTTTATTCTTTGCTCTTTTGGGGGCCCACCACCCAGCTCCCAAATAAATGCATGGCGATTTGTTCTTTCTTATGAATGCCCAGCCGTAGCTTGGCTTATTTCTAGCCAGCCATTCTTAAATTATCCCATCTACCTTTTGCCTTTTTCTATTTCATCATATCTTTTCTTCTTATTCCACGTCTGGCTGTTGGCTGGGTGGCTGACCCCTAGCATCCTCCTCTCTTCCTTCTTTCGCTCCTCCTCTTCTCATTCTTTCCTTCTATTCTTTTTCTCTGCCTGGCAGCCCTGCCTATGCCTCTCTCCTGCCTAGCTACTGACTGTTCAACTCTTTACTAGATCACTCAGGTGTTTTCAGCGGGCAAAGTAACAAAACTTTTCAGAGTTAAACAAATGCAACATAAAAGAATGCAACACTTCTTTGCATCATTAAACAAATATTCCACCGCATAAAAGAATGTGACTCATCTTTAACCAGTATTCCACAACAGTCCAGTTACCCTCCACATAGCCATGCGGCTACTGGTTGGTGGTGTAACTCTCGGGGTTCACAGCTAGGTAAGACTATTAAACAGCTTTCCTTCCCTAGCTGCTTGAACGGCACTTAGTACCTTTTAGCACTCTGAGGACTAACTGGATTTGATTTCTTTATGTCCCGCAACAAAAGCAGATGGTATATTCTGCAATATGATCTTATCATCTAGTTTTAGTGGACAATTGAGATCAATGGCAATAGTCTGTATGGTTTTGGGAACCCTTGGGTCTTCCCTCACTGACAACTCATGAGGAGATCTCTTTATATTTTTTATTTAACACATTTCGAAGTCAGTGCTCAAAACAACAGCAATTCGTTAAATCCTCTAAACAACCCAATGAAAGATGATGCTTTTTGTTAGTTCTGATTTACATTTGAAGAAACTGAGGCTAGAGGACTAGAGAGATGGTTCAGTGATTAAGGGTGAGTACAGCTTTTACAGCAGAGGGATGTAGTTCAGTTCCCAGCACCCATGTCAGATGGCCTGCAACTGCCTGTAACTACAGCTCCAGGGAATCTGCCACCCTTTTCTGGCTTCCATGGGCAACTGCACTCACAGGTACATACTCTGACACAGACACCCATGCATACACATAATGAACAATAAATTTTTCTTAAAAAAAGGGGGGGGCAGAGGCAGGTGGTGGTGGCACATACCTTTAATCCCAGCACTTGGGAGACAGAGACAGGTAGATCTTTGCGAATCCGAGGCCAGACTGATCTACAAGAGTGAGTTCCAGGACAGCCAGGGCTGTTACATAGAGAAACCCTATCTCAAAAAACAAACAACAAAGAAAGAAAGAAAGAAAGAAAGAAAGAAAGAAAGAAAGAAAGAAAGAAAGAAAGAAAGAAGGAAGGAAGGAAGGAAGGAAGGAAGGAAGGAAGGAAGGAAGGAAGGAAGGAAGGAAAAAAAAGAAAAAAGAAAGGGGAAGGAAAGAAAAGAACCTAAGGCACAGAGAAATACAATAACTTGGTCAGTCACAGAGCTGGTAAGTAGCAGAGCCGTAGAAACCGCAGTCTAAGCACCCGGGGGCTCTTGCACGCAGTCTGCAAGCCACAGCTACAGGCAAGTGACATCCAGAGCCCATGGTGCAATGCCTCATCCATGTCTGCCCTTCCCTTCTGAAAACTGCAAACCCTGCAGCCACCACAACCAGCCTGGTGAGTTCCTCCTAAGCAAAGACCCAAGCCAAGCTGTGGCCACCGGTGGGCTCTGTCGGGCCAGTTACAAGGATGCTGTTTCTCTCTTTACTGTTCCACACTTCCGGCCTTCCGGCGTGGGTTTTCTCTGGGCCTTCTTCATGCCATTGTTTCTCCCAGCCAATCTCTCCCTCTCAACACTCAGACACAAACCACTACCGCCCCCCCCCGCCCCCTCCCCACCCCCCGCCCCAGCCACGAAAATGCAACGTGACAATTGGACCGCATTACAGCACCGGAGTGCTATGCTTCCTGCGGCTCTCCGTTTTCTCCGGGATGTGCCAGGACCTGGCCCACGCCCATGATCGTTTCAGTTGTCTTTCATGATGACGTCTTCAGGATCTGGCTCGGCTGGGCTGGCTCCTGGTCTTACCCAGTGCAGGTCATCTGGCAAGGAAAGAAGAAACTCCCACGGGCCTCTCCTGCACATCTGCCATATCCGCTCCCTCCGCGGCCTCTTCCTTGGGGACCCGGGTCCAGCCTGCCCTGTCTGCACCGTACCTATTCAGGTTCAGGTCATACATAGCCCCAGCCCATGCTGAGGGGGGCTCATCGTCACTCCTGTGAGTAGAGGGGTCAACTCTGCAGGCACACTTTCAGCCCGCTTCTAACGCTCTCAGTCCTGCAATGGGGACCTGGGGACCCATGGGTCTTGCTGTCTCAAGGTTGTGTGAGTAGACTGAGAACCATAGGTGGGCTCTCGGACACGGTGCTTGTTTCTACGATTTACCGTGTTTTAACTCTACTGGGAAAGTTATATTTTTGTTGAATTCCCATCATTCCATATCACTATTTAAATTTTGTGGAATTTTCTCCTTCCCCTAATTCTTTCCCAATAAGCATGATTGTCACCTAAAAACAGCACCAACAGTCTGAAGTGTATCATGTTGACAACTACCACTTTAGACAAAAAGGGGAAATGTAGTGGCTTTTCAATTGTATTGTAATAAATAAAGCCTGCCTTATTTGCAACCGGTAATTGGTACACGTGTAAGGGGCTTTTCCTTCTCCATCTCAGAAATGACTGCGGGGCAAACAGGAGTTATTCGACCATCTGCTGGGGTTGAACGATGCCAACGTCTTTAATGTGCTCGTTGTATACATAGTGATTTCTTTTTCTTTAACAGCCCGTCTTAGGACCGAGGCCGACAGTGAGTGACTAAGCTCACTAGCTAGGAACTCATCTAGAGATCTTTTTCTCTAATATTTAACATCTCCTTTCCTGCTGCATTTTTGCGGTGTAGGTCGCTTCTTCCTGGTGTGCCTTTCTGGTCTCCATAGTGTAGGGCCAGCGTGGTGAATGACTAAACTCTCTGTGGAAGGTCTCCCAGGGAGTCCTCTGGTCTCCCTTGTCCCCAGCGTTACACAGAAAGCTCTGCAGCTCCTCACAAGGTCACACAGATCCATCTTGAAGCTGACTAACGTTGCTATGGGTGCGGCTGCCTTGATCCAGCTCTGAAGAAAAACTCTGCCCCCCCCCCAGTACCGTACATGATTAGGTTACTCCCCTGCACGATCCAAAGTGGGGTTACCTTCTTGCCTCTATCCTGTGTGTCCTCATGTGGCTGGACTCATAGGTCACCATCACCAGAGATGTGACTTTCTTATGTGTTCAGCTGTGACTTCCTTTTTCTTGGTCCCTCCCTGGATGTACCCAACTTGTTTTGTTTGGAGGTTCTGCCTTGTCTGGGCCCAGGTCCTTTCCACTGCTGACATAGTCTCCTTCCAGATCCATGGTGGCTGTGGTTCCAAGCCCAGGTCCTCTCCACAGCCAGCATAATCTCCCTCCAGGTTCATGTGGAGAGCCTGGGGGTGGGGGAGGTCTCCGCACCAGCCTCAAATACCATTCCTCTTGCAGGGAGCCTGTCTTGCCTGCAGTATATACACAGACAAACAGACAGACAGACAGACAGATGCATACGGGGGGGGGGGGGGATGAGAGAGAGAGAGAGAGAGAGAGAGAGAGAGAGAGAGAGAGAGAGAGAACCTTGACAACAGGCTTCCACACACACAGCCCTCTCAGTTCCTCTGCCCTACCCTCCTGTCCTGTGTCTTCGTACTTCATCCATAGCAGAGTCAACCCTTAGAAGCCCTCATGAGCAGGCCTGAGGATGCCTGCCCACTTCCTGGATTTCCCGCAAACACTTAGATCAACCTCTGACCTCTCTGCAGCAGGTGTCCTGTACCCTGGCTCCAGATCTAGGTCTGGGGCCCTCCCCCCTCAGGCGGCTTTCCTCCCTTTATTTGTCTAGATCTGTAGTGTCCTCCGTTCCTGGAAGGGCCTCAGGCTCCTTGTTCTCTCCGACCTCAGGACCCTTAACACTGTCTCCATAGCACCGAGCCCCGATTTTCTCACCTCTAAAGGGGAGCAGAGCCCTGCCTTGCCATTGATCCACCTACACTGCCCTGCTTGGATTGACTTCCTTCCAGGAGGCTTGTAAGCCTTCAGGACAACGACCAGGTGCAAACACAAGAGCAGAAAGCAAGAAGTCACTGTAGGACACACAACTGGGTGGCTCCGACAGGCACCTGCCCCTCTTGGCTGCTCTAGTACCAGGGCTGATGGGAGACATACTTACTGCACTTCTTTGTTCCCTGCTGAACACAGATAGGGCCCTGGGTGTTGAGACTGCATAGGGGTTTCCAGCCCCACCCCAGAGCTGTCACGGTCAGCCTCTCCCCATTCCAGATCCTGCCCTCCCCCACCACTGGCTCTCCCACCCACTCATAGACCCTTCAATTGGGCCTGAGACTGTAATACACCTTGGACCATATCCGCGAAGGTGAGATGAGTCACCTGATGAGGTCACTGAAGGCCAGCCTCCTCCCAGTTCATGGTCACCAGGTTTGAGTGCCTGAGGGTGTGGTTCTCTGCATGTGGATTTGAAAAAAAAAAAAAAGTTCACCGCATTAGTGGATGGCCGACAGGAGAAGAGGGTGATGGGGAAGATTCTAGCCTCATCATGATGGGTTGTGACTATCCAGCCCGCAGGGGTTGCAGGGCTTCCTGCTCTGAGAACTTCCTCTAGCCACAGTGTCAGTGTTATATGAAGGACATAACTGCTCTTTACCCCTCCACAAGCTGGCCTCTCATTGATGAAAGCATCCCTGACTCTTCTTGGGGCAACCCTCAACTCCTCACAGCATAGGAGGTGTAGGTTGGTGGATGCCCATTGAGGCAGGAGCTACTTGGGCCTCGGCTGGAGCAATCAGGCCAGTGTGTTTTCTCTTGGGGCTGCCAGCAGTAGGGTACTGTTCTCAGTGTGCAGGTCTGGAAAATACTGCAGAGAATGTTCCCTGGGACGGAATGATCAGAACTGTAGGCAGGTAGGACAACAACCCCTGAGGCCTGTGGTCATATCCTTCTGGTTCTGTGCCCCTCTTGGGTCACAGGATCTGGACTTGACAATTCTGTGACCTAATAAATTCTCTTTATGGTTGAAGTTTGTTGGACTGGATTCCTGTTGCTGGCTTCTAAAGGTTCTGGTGAATCCAGTAAAGCAAGATCTGGACTGAGCTGGCAGCTCACTTGCCAGGTAGCTGTCCTGGGAGGCAGGTGGTTAATCCATTTCAAAGATGTGAAGTGAAGGCCGAAGTCCAGGGGTTGGCTGGTCCCATGGGGAGGTCGGTGTGACCTGGCTTTCAGGTCTTCTGAGTGAAGACATCGCCCCCTTTTAATCTCATACATGGCAGAGCCACTAGACCCTACTGGGCTCAAGATCAGAGGCAAGACTTCCCAGTCACCTGGGGAAAAGGGATCCCAAAGTGTGCAGGACACAGCTCCCATGAGCTATCTAAGTTGTAAGAATAAGGAAAACATCTGTATCATATCAAATAAAAAGTGAAGCTAATTTGGGCAGGCAAGATGGCTCAGTATGTAAAGGATTTTGCCACCAAGCCTGAGGACCTGAGTTTAATCCCTAGGAAACACATGGTAGAAGGAGAGAGCCAACTCCCCCAAGCTGTCCTCCAAACTACACCCACACCCACACCCATACCCACACACATACATACACACACACACACAAACACTAAATAAATAAATAATAAACACAATTTAAAATTTTAAACTAATTTATCTATTCCATATATAACAGATGCGATTATGGTTTTACAATGCAGGTAGAGCCAGGTGGTGGTGGCACACACCTTTAATCCCAGCATTCGGGAGGTAGAGACAGGCAAATCTCAGGGAGTTCAAAGTCAGCCTAATCTACCCAGCTAGTTCCAGGACATATAGGGCTGTTACACAGAGAAACACTGTCTTGAAAAATCTAAATAAATAAATAAATAAAATGCTGGCAGAGGTGGATACAGCAGTGTGTGTCTGTGAGCCCAGCAGTAGACAGGCAGAGACAGGCAAAAGCCTGGGGCACACTGGCCAGGCAGCCTACCTGAATCCATGAGCCCCAGTTTCATTAAGAGAATCTATCTCAAAAACATAAGGTAGAAAATGATTGGAGGAGACACCCAACGCTGACCTCCGGCCTCCACATGTGCACACGAACGCATAAGTACTCAAACCACACACATGCTATTTACATATACTCTAAGACCAGAACATGCAGTGAAATATCAGTGCAGATTATCATTATACTCAGTGGACATGTGCTGTTGTATAATTTCATTTTTCTGTAGCTCCTGAATTTTAGAAGTTTTGCTTTATAATGAAGCATGGAGGGAAGTTA